TACAAATAAGTGTAATACACTCTATAGTAAATCACTTCTTTTCTTCACCTTAAAGTACGAAAATGAGTTTTGGAGAACTCCTATTTGAATTAAGCCCTGATGCTAAGAAAATAGTTAGAGGGATAGAAGCCCTAAACCAGAAAATAATTAATACAGAATATGCGGTCATATTCAATGAAACATGTTTGAAAGAAAACCTGCTGCCAGTATACACCAATATATATATATATATATATATATATATATATATATATATATATATATTTTGGTAGCAGTCTTTCCTGTAGACATATATTATTAAATATTATTTTTACACAGGTACCTGATGTCAGACATCTGCAGGAGCTGAAGGAGGTGTTTGAGCAGAGTTCCGTGCTGCGTTTCACTTACGAGATGGAAAAGGATGGGAAGCTGCCCTTTCTAGATGAAACAGTCATGGAAAAGAGCGGAGGTTTCCACACTGCAGTCTACACTAAGGAAACGAACATAGGAATGTGCCTAAATGCCAACAGCGACTGCCCAGACAGGTACAAGAGGAGTGTTGTTAACGCATATGTCGACCGTGCTCTCAGCCACAGCTCAGAATGGAAGCAAGTCGACGAAGAACTCTGTAGGGTAAGGCAGGTCCTAGTCAACAACGGCTTCTCCAATGGTTTCGTCGAAGACATCATAAGAAGGAAAGTGAAACGCCATGCAACCTCTGAAGAGACAACTAACACAACACCTATACCCCCTATTAGACTATTTTACAGGAACTTCTTTTCCACAGCTCATAAAACGGAGGAAAGGGTCCTGAAAGATATTGTTAATAGAAACGTTATCCCTACAGACAAAAATCAGAGGATACAACTGACGATTTACTATAAAACCAGAAAAACGGCCAGCCTACTCATGAGAAACTTTCCAGACACAAAGCAGAACGCTTTAAAAGAGACCAACGTCGTCTATGCCTACAAATGCCCTCTTGGGGACTGTAAGCTCCGAAAAACCCAGTATATAGGCAAGACAACAACATCTCTTTCTGGGCGTTTAACGATGCATAAGCAAAAGGGCTCCATTAAGGAACATATAATCTCTTCCCACAACCAAACCATCCCCAGAGAAATCCTAGTAAACAACACAGAAATCATCGATAGATACAGCGATAGCAGGCGCCTTGACGTTTGCGAGGCACTACACATTAAAAAGTCAACACCAGCAATCAACAGCCAATTAATACACAACTATATTCTACCCACCTCAAGACTCCGCTCCAATATAGAAGCATCAAGAAAAATGGAGCAATAGGCTTTCTACAATCACTTCCATTCAATACCCATTGTTTCGTGTTCTGTCTTGTGTTGATGAAATTAATACCCTATTAATACCACCTCACCCCATCCACCTCACTCAAATGTAGATATAAACAAATCGGAGATGTGTAAGTTCTATTCAGTTGTGTATGTGTAAACTAAAGTCTTTGAAAATGTAATAAGTTTTACGAAACGCGCTCAAGTGTCGCATCAGACTAGAAATAAAAATGAATTTTGGAGAATTGATTTTTGAATTACCACCAACAGTGAAAAGAAATGTACGAAAGATCGAGAAAATTCGTGTTAGAATTATTAATCTTACTTTTTCGGTCATATTTATTATATATATATATATATATATATATATATATATATATATATATATATATATATATATATATATATATATATATATATATATATATATATATATATATATATATATATATGTCGTACCTAGTAGCCAGAACGCACTTCTCAGCATACTATGCAAGACCCGATTTGCCTAATAAGCCAAGTTTTCCTGAGTTAATATATTTTCTCTATTTTGTTCTTATGAAATGATAAAGCTACCCATTTCATTACATATCAGGTCAATTTTTTTAATTGGAGTAAAAATTAACGTAGATATATGACCAAACCTAACCAACCCTACCTAACCTAACCTAACCTATCTTTATAGGTTAGGTTAGGTTAGGTAGCAGAAAAAGTCAGGTTAGGTTAGGTTAGGTAGGTTAGGTAGTTGAAAAACAATTAATTCATGAAAACTTGGCTTATTAGGCAAATCGGGCCTTGCATAGTAGGCTGAGAAGTGCGTTCTGGCTACTAGGTACGAAATATATATATATACATATATATGTCGTACCTAGTAGCCAGAACGCACTTCTCGGCCTACTATAACAAGGCCCGATTTGCCTAATAAGCCAAGTTTTCATGAATTAATTGTTTTTCGACTACCTAACCTACCTAACCTAACCTAACCTAACGTTTTCGGCTACCTAACCTAACCTAACCTATAAAGATAGGTTTGGTTAGGTTAGGTAGGGTTGGTTAGGTTCGGTCATATATCTACGTTAATTTTAACTGCAATAAAAACAAATTGACCTCATACATAATGAAATGGGTAGCTTTATCATTTCATAAGAAAAAAATTAGAGAAAATATAATAATTCAGGAAAACTTGGCTTATTAGGCAAATCGGGCATGCATAGTAGGCTGAGAAGTGCATTCTGGCTACTAGGTACGACATATATATATATATATATATATATATATATATATATATATATATATATATATATATATATCGTACCTAATCGGCTACCTAACCAACCTAACCTATAAAGATAGGTTAGGTTAGGTTAGGTAGGGTTGGTTAGGTTCGGTCATATATCTACGTTAATTTTAACTCCAATAAAAAAAATTGATCTCATACATAATGAAATGGGTAGCTTTATCATTTCATAAGAAAAATACTAGAACAAATATATTAATTCAGGAAAACTTGGCTTATTAGGCAAATCGGGCCTTGAATAGTAGGCCAAAAAGTGAGTTCTGGCTACTAGGTACGACATATATATATATATATATATATATATATATATATATATATATATATATATATATGTCGTACCTAGTAGCCAGAACTCACTTCTCAGCCTACTATGCAAGGCCCGATTTGCCTAATAAGACAAGTTTTACTAAATTAATATATTTTCTCTAATTTTTTTCTTATGAAATGATATAGCTACCCATTTCATTATGTATGAGGTCAATTTTTTTTTATTTGAGTTCAAATTAACGTAGATATATGACCGAACCTAACCAACCCTACCTAACCTAACCTAACCAATCTTATAGGTTAGGTTAGGTTAGGTAGCCGAAAACGTTAGGTTAGGTTAGGTTAGGTAGGTTAGGTTGGCGAAAAAAACATTAATTCATGAAAACTAGGCTTATTAGGCAAATCGGGCCTTGCATAGTAGGCTGAGAAGTGCGTTCTGGCTACTAGGTACGACATATATATATATATATATATGTCGTACCTAGTAGCCAGAACTCACTTTTTGGTCTACTATTCAAGGCCCGATTTGCCTAATAAGCCAAGTTTTCCTGAATTAATATATTTTTTCTAATTTTTTTCTTATGAAATGATAAAGCTACCAAGTTTTCATGAATTAATTGCTTTTCGACTACCTAACCTACCTAACCTAACCTAACCTAACTTTTTCGGCTTCATGAAAACTTGGCTTATTAGGCTGAAATCGGGCCTTGCATAGTAGGCTGAGAAGTGCGTTAACCTAACCAACACAGATTTCATAGGCTAGCAGGTGGGTTAGGTTGCCGAGGCACTACACATTAAGAAGTCAACACCAGCAATCAACAGCCCATTAATGCACAACTATATTCTACCCACCTCAAGACTCCGCTCCAATATAGAAGCATCAAGAAATATGGACCAATAGGCTTTCTACAATCACTACCAATTCATTATGTATGAGGTCAATTTTCCTAACCAAACCTAACCTAGGTTAGGTTAGGTAGGTTGGTTAGGTTCGGTCATATATCTACGTTAATTTTAACTCCAATAAAAAAAATTGACCTCTTACATAATGATATGGGTTGCTTTATCATTTCATAAGAAAAAAATTAGAGAAAATTCATGAATTCATGAAACTTGGCTTATTAGGCAAATCGGGCCTTGCATTGTAGGCTGAAAAGTGAGTTCTGGCTACTAGGTACGACATATATATATATATATATATATATATATATATATATATATATATATATATACGACATATATATATATATATATATATATATATATATATATATATATATATATATATATATATATATATATATATATATATATAATTCATCTGTATAAATTATCAATTGCTATCACATTTATCATTAATTTATCATAAGTGCTTGCATATTTGCATATAATATCTTGCTTGTATCATATAACTAGTTGTTATAATTACTAGACATGATCTCAGTTATTAGCTATGCAGTTTAAGAGCGAGGTTAGACTGTGTAGTGTTCAGAACTTTTGATACTAAAAGAGAACCAGTATTTAGAGTCACTGAACTGTGTTTTATCATTTCATCCATTGTAAACTACAATGTTGAAGTGTTTTAAATGCCAACAGGTACATTGTGCTTCTTCCATCACTATCCTGGTGTTAATAAGTAAAGTCCACATAGCATCCTAAGACAGGAGGATTGGCAGGACTTTGTATAAGCTAAGGAATTATAAGTTCATTTATTTTGCATTCTTATTTTAAAGTATCATTTATTAAGTTCCAGTCCAATTAATTTCCTCATTTAAGTCCCACATAAACGAGACTTTAGCCTTCAACGTGTGACATATCACATATGTGTGACATGTGTGGCATGAAAGAGTAATGCCACAACAGATCACATTATTCCAGCATTATGTATATGGAACTTGATGAAGTCTCCTTCATAATACTGGTGTATATTTATTCAACGTCCTCTTTTTTTATTTTTAACATTAAACCAATAAACAAAGAAATTACAATAGCGTAATATTACGCTAAAAAGGAAATAATTTACAACAATGCAGGATGTGACCTAGCGTTCTAGAGCGTTTGGGACTCACCAGAATGATGGTTCAAATTCCCACATTTCTCCAAATGATTCTCATTCAATCGGTGTCATGCATGAGAAAAATACTCACTTTCATGGCCTTGTGGAAGACTTTACCAGTGTTGTTGAAGCAACCGTCCTTTCTCTGATTAGACTGAAGCCAAGTGCTTGTTTGGTTCAAATCATTCTTGTCAATCTGCAATTACCAACAGCAATCAGATTCAGGAAGTAGTATACAGTATACACCAAATAAAACATGAGTAAGAAAGTTATTGCTATTTGCTTCAACGACAATTAGCAGCGTTTGGGTGCTTAATTGATAGTATTACCACAGCTCATAGCAGCTCAGTAATTAGATCTCAAGAACAAATATCAAACCCAAACATTTGAAAATGAAAAATCCCTAATGTATGGGTCGGTCCTAGACCATCATGTGTGATGGTCCACGAGGGATCGAAACGTCGTCGTGTTTTAATTTTTACATATGTGGGCTGGGTGTCAGGTGTGTGGGCTGGGTGTCAGGTGTGTGGGCTGGGTATCAGGTGTGTGGGCTGGGTATCAGGGGTGTGGGCTGGGTATCAGGTGTGTGGGCTGGGTTTTAGGTGTGTGGGCTGGGTGTCAGGTGTGTGGGCTGGGTATCAGGGGTGTGGGCTGGGTTTCAGGTGTGTGGGCTGGGTATCAGGTGTGTGGGCTGGGTATCAGGTGTGTGGGCTGGGTATCAGGTGTGTGGGCTGGCTGGGTATCAGGTGTGTGGGCTGGGTGTCAGGTGTGTGGGCTGGGTATCAGGTGTGTGGGCTGGGTGGTGTGTGGGCTGGGTGTCAGGTGTGTGGGCTGGGTATCAGGTGTGTGGGCTGGGTTTCAGGTGTGTGGGCTGGGTGTCAGGTGTGTGGGCTGGGTATCAGGTGTGTGGGCTGGGTGTCAGGTGTGTGGGCTGGGTATCAGGTGTGTGGGCTGGGTATCAGGTGTGTGGGCTGGGTATCAGGTGTGTGGGCTGGGTTTCAGGTGTGTGGGCTGGGTATCAGGTGTGTGGGCTGGGTATCAGGTGTGTGGGCTGGGTGTCAGGTGTGGGGCTGGGTATCAGGTGTGTGGGCTGGGTATCAGGTGTGTGGGCTGGGTATCAGGTGTGTGGGCTGGGTATCAGGTGTGTGGGCTGGGTATCAGGTGTGTGGGCTGGGTATCAGGTGTGTGGGCTGGGTATCAGGTGTGTGGGTATCAGGTGTGTGGGCTGGGTATCAGGTGCTGGGTATCAGGTGTGTGGGCTGGGTATCAGGTGTGTGGGCTGGGTGTCAGGTGTGTGGGCTGGGTATCAGGTGTGTGGGCTGGGTATCAGGTGTGTGGGCTGGGTATCAGGTGTGTGGGCTGGGTATCAGGTGTGTGGGCTGGGTGTCAGGTGTGTGGGCTGGGTATCAGGTGTGTGGGCTGGGTATCAGGTGTGTGGGCTGGGTATCAGGTGTGTGGGCTGGGTATCAGGTGTGTGGGCTGGGTATCAGGTGTGTGGGCTGGGTATCAGGTGTGTGGGCTGGGTATCAGGTGTGTGGGCTGGGTATCAGGTGTGTGGGCTGGGTATCAGGTGTGTGGGCTGGGTATCAGGTGTGTGGGCTGGGTATCAGGTGTGTGGGCTGGGTATCAGGTGTGTGGGCTGGGTATCAGGTGTGTGGGCTGGGTATCAGGTGTGTGGGCTGGGTGTCAGGTGTGTGGGCTGGGTTTCAGGTGTGTGGGCTGGGTGTCAGGTGTGTGGGCTGGGTATCAGGTGTGTGGGCTGGGTTTCAGGTGTGTGGGCTGGGTATCAGGTGTGTGGGCTGGGTATCAGGTGTGTCGGCTGGGTATCAGGTGTGTGGGCTGGGTTTCAGGTGTGTGGGCTGGGTGTCAGGTGTGTGGGCTGGGTATCAGGTGTGTGGGCTGGGTGTCAGGTGTGTGGGCTGGGTATCAGGTGTGTGGGCTGGGTTTCAGGTGTGTGGGCTGGGTGTCAGGTGTGTGGGCTGGGTATCAGGTGTGTGGGCTGGGTGTCAGGTGTGTGGGCTGGGTGTCAGGTGTGTGGGCTGGGTATCAGGTGTGTGGGCTGGGTTTCAGGTGTGTGGGCTGGGTGTCAGGTGTGTGGGCTGGGTTTCAGGTGTGTGGGCTGGGTGTCAGGTGTGTGGGCTGGGTGTCAGGTGTGTGGGCTGGGTATCAGGTGTGTGGGCTGGGTTTCAGGTGTGTGGGCTGGGTGGTCAGGTGTGTGGGCTGGGTATCAGGTGTGTGGGCTGGGTTTCAGGTGTGTGGGCTGGGTGTGTGGGGTGTGTGGGCTGGGTGTCAGGTGTGTGGGCTGGGTATCAGGTGTGTGGGCTGGGTTTCAGGTGTGTGGGCTGGGTATCAGGTGTGTCGGCTGGGTATCAGGTGTGTAGGCTGGGTATCGGGTGTGTGAGCTGGGTATCAGGTGTGTCGGCTATGTGTCAGGTGTGTGGGCTGGGTGTCGGGTGTGTACTCACCTAGTTGTACTCACCTAGTTGTGCTTGCGGGGGTTGAGCTCTGGCTCTTTGGTTCCGCCTCTCAACCGTCAATCAACAGATGTACAGGTTACTGAGCCTATTGGCCTCTATCATATCTACACTTAAAACTGTGTATGGAGTCAGCCTCCACCACATCACTTCCTAATGCATTCCATTTGTCAACCACTCAGACACTAAAAAAGTTCTTTCTAATATCTCTGTGGCTCATTTGGGCACTCAATTTCCACCTGTGTCCCCCTAGTGCGTGTGCCCCGTGTGTTAAATAGCCTGTCTTTATCAACCCTGTCGATTCCCTTGAGAACCTTGAATGTGGTGATCATGTCCCCCCAAACTCTTCTGTCTTCCAACGAAGTGAGATTTAATTCCCGTAGTCTCTTCTCGTTGCTCATACCTCTCAGCTCGGGTAATAGTCTGGTGGCAAACCTTTGAACCTTTTCCAGTTTAGTCGTATGCTTGACTAGATATGGACTCCATGCTGGAGCCGCATACTTCAGGATTGGTCTGACATATGTGGTATATAATGTTCTGAAAGACTCCTTACACAAGTTTCTAAAGGCCGTTCTTATGTTAGCCAACCTGGCATATGCTGCTGATGTTATCCTCTTGATATGAGCTTCAGGGGACAGGACTGGCGTGATATCAACCCCCAGGTCTTTCTCTCTCTCTGACTCTTGAAGTATTTCATCTCCCAAATGGTACCTTGTATCTGGTCTCCTGCTTCCTACCCCTATCTTCATTACATTGCATTTGCTTGGGTTAAACTCTAACAACCATTTGTTCGACCATTCCTGCAGCTTGTCCAGGTCTTCTTGAAGCCTCAAGCTGTCCTCCTCTGTCTTAATCCTCCTCATAATTTTGGCGTCGTCACCAAACATTGAGAGGAATGAGTCTATACCTTCTGTGAGATCATTTACGTATATCAGAAACAGGATAGGTCCTAGTACAGAGCCCTGTGGGACTCCACTGGTGACTTCACGCCATTCTGAGGTCTCACCCCTCACTGTAACTCTCTGCTTCCTATTGCTTAGGTACTCCCTTATCCACTGGAGCGCCCTACCAGTTACTCCTGTCTGTTTCTCCAGCTTATGCATCAACCTTTTATGGGGTACCGTGTCAAAGGCTTTCCGACAGTCCAAAAAAATGCAGTCCGCCCATCCTTCTCTTTCTTGCTTAATATTTGTCACCTGATCGTAGAATTCTATAAAGCCTGTAAGGCAAGATTCACCCTCCCTGAACCCATGTTCATGTGTTGTCACGAAGTCTCTTCTCTCTAGATGTGTTACTAGGTTTTTTCTCACAATCTTCTCCATCACCTTGCATGGTATACAAGTTAAGGACACTGACCTGTAGTTCAGTGCCTCTTGTCTGTCACCCTTTTTGTATATTGGTACTACATTAGCAGTCTTCCATATTTCTGGTAGGTCCCCCGTTTCCTGTGACCTACTATACACTATGGAGAGTGGCAAGCAAAGTGCTCCTGCACACTCTTTCAATACCCATGGTGCGATTCCGTCCAGCCCAACAGCTTTTCTCACATCCAGCTCCAATAGGTGCTTCTTGACCTCATCTCTTGTAATTTCGAACCTATCCAAGGTCACCTGGTTTGCTGTCACCTCTTCTAGCGCCGTGACATCTCCCTGTTCTATTGTAAAGACCTCCTGGAACCTTTTGTTGAGTTCTTCACACTCCTCTTTATCATTCTCTGTGTAACTGTCCTCGCCCACCCTAAGTTTCATCACCTGTTCCTTCACTGTTGTCTTCCTCCTGATGTGACTGTGTAGTAGCTTTGGTTCGGTCTTGGCTTTATTAGCTATATCATTTTCATACCTTTTCTCAGCTGCTCTTCTCACACTGACATACTCGTTCCTAGTATCTCTCTCTACTTTCTGGTGTTCTGTTATTACGGAAGTTCCTCCATGCCCCTTTGTTCAGCCCCTTTGCTTTCATACATTCCCTATTAAACCACGGATGCTTCCATTGCTTCTCTGTTTTTTCCTGTCGGGCTGGGACAAACCTGCTTACAGCCTCCTGACATTTTTGGGTGACATAGTCCATCATGTCTTGTACTGACTTGGTTCCGAGTTCTGTGTCCCAATGTATATCCCATAGGAATTTATTCATCTCCTCATAGTTTCCCTTTCGGTACGCCAGCCCTTTGGTTCCCAGTTCTTGTTTGGGGGTGATAATTCCTAGCTCAACCAGGTACTCAAAGCTCAATACACTATGATCACTCATTCCCAATGGGGCTTCCAACTTAACTTCC